TAGTGCTTGCTGCAGCTCCACCTCACTACATTTTCCTACCCATAAGCTTAAATAGTCTTGATCGCGAGGGTGTGAGATTGCTGAGTCCCCGTGACCCACAGATGACTTCCAAAACCAGATGCAGGTGCCGATGATGTCATTCCAGGAGATGCGACTGAACTCAAGTGGGAGTTCGACGAGGACTCGGGACGTTACTATGTTTCCTTTCCAGACGATCAGTAGTGGAGCCCAGTTGGGGCGATTGGGAATCTTATGCATTTGGGGTTGTCTTTATTTTGGTTCTGTAGTCGGACCTTGATTGTATTCTGGATGATGTAATGCTATATTTATGTATTGTGTGAAGTGGCGATTGTAAGCCAACTCTATACCTCTTTCTTATTCAGTACATGGGATGTGTAAAGATTACCCCTCTTGCGACATGCCTACAATGCGGTTATGCCTCTAAGTCGTGCTCCGACACGTGGGAGATATAGCCGCATCGTGGGTGTTACAAGTTGGTAATCAGAGCCTTCCCCGACTTAGGAGCCCCCTGCTTGATCGAATCGCTGACGTTGTTGAGTCTAGAAAAATGTTTTGAGTCTTATAGGATTATATATATCGGAGAGTAGGATTCTTTTTACTCCTCAGTCCCTTCGTCGCTCTGGTGAGGCATCCTGACATAGAGTTTTGGCTCTTCTCTTCTCAAATTTCACTAAAAAAATTTGGGATCACGCGGGTATCTTGGAATCGTTCCGATGGTTTTGTGACGAGAACATTGTTCTTGGTTCCTCCTGACATTTAGGGGTTGTGGCAGTGTCCTGGGGAGTTGAGCTCCGAGGTGTTGTCGTCACAATTTTATCGCTGCAATTCTAGAATACCTGAGTTTTGTCGACATCGAAAATCTCTTTTATGTAGTTGTTGGTGAGATAACCTCGACGCCACCTAGTACTGGGGCGGGAGTTCGGGAGTATTACCATAACTCGTATAACGGATGCTTTTCGAAGGTTGAGGTAAATGATTTCCGAAGGTTTCTTGGTTATGTGTTGAAGGATGGATACAGCTGGATGTAGGATTTGCTAGTTTTATGTGAGATATTATGCTTCCCCTGTATCCCCAACACCTGATTACATAACCGGAATGTTTCGGGAGTTTCATAGGTGGGAATTCATGTAGCTCTAGTATTTCTTTCGCAGATATTTGGTTTGTGATTAGGTAATCCTTACTGTCGTGGAATTGTCACGACAGATGTCCTAGTGTGAGGACTTAGTCGTGAGGCCAATGCATCTATGCGGTAGCTTGAAGGGGTTGGTCGGAATCGAGAGACGCATGGCGGATCAACGCACAAGACAAGGATTTAGACAGCTTCGGGCCCCGGGAAACATCATCCGGTAAAAATCCTACATGTTGTTTGTGGCTAGGTCTCATTATGCTCATGAGGGAGTCGCCGTAAGCCGGCGCTCCTCTAGTTGTGTCTAGCTTTCTAGATTGTTTTTCGTTGTTTGTCCCTCTTTGGGGAGCCCTATCCCTCCTTATATATGTTGAACGCGCAGGTTACATGACCAGTCCTAGTAAGATTAGGATTAACCTATTACAAATAGAGTCCTAGTCTTGCTTCCTTTTATAGGAGAATATTCCTTATGCTTTCCCCTTAAGCCCGCCCACCATTAACATGAGCCGGTCTTCTGGGCCTTGGGCCTAGTCCTCCATCTGAAACACCCGCCGGGACTAATGAGCCGCCAAGATCGGGCGGTTTACCCGTGAGTCGCCAAGCTCCGGGCGGATCACAAGTGAGTCGTCAAGATCCATCCGGGTCATACATCCAGCCGAGTTACACCGCGGGGTATATCCCCGACATTAGCCCCCAGTTTAATTTGGATTTATCCATGTTAAACTAATCTGCGATATAAACACAAGAACGAATTTGACAGGTTGTGCTTCGGGTTAAATATTTTGTAAGCCGACACCTGATCATCCCTAAGTCCTTGTCATTTCCTTGTTGATATATACATGTCCATGATCTCATAGTAAATCTTCCTTAGCAGATATGTTTCAATTTTGTCAATGTAAAAAATCCAGATACTTCTTTTGATAAATCCGGGTCAATAGGCCAGCTTCAGAGTCAATTTGCAGACATTGGTATCTTATAAAGAAATATTGTAAGAAATAATCCACTTGAATCGGCTTGCAAAGTGCCGGTTTAAAAAAATATTGGTCTTGAAAAAAACTCATCTGACTTTCAGCTGGTTTGTAGAACTTGCCGGTTTATTATTGCCAAAATATCCGGTTTGTAAATATTGATAGCACCGGGTCATAATTGTTGTCGACGCCGGGTCATAGTTATTGGTGACGCCGGGTCAATCTGGTTTACTCAAAACTGAGAATTTGAAGTTTTTTCTCCCTTATATCCATATTACCTGTAGCCCACAAGTATTGAGCAGAAACAAAGTGATGACTTAAGACTTGCTTCAATATAAATACTGCCACTTTGAAGAAATCCATGTTGTTCATCTTAGTCACTAGTAAAGACTGAATACTCCATATATGTAGCCCCCAAGTGTCGGGTTGTCATGCTTGCAGCAACCTGGGACTTGTAATTGCCTTATACTCATAAAAAACTTCAACCAGTGTAGCCCCCAAGTGTCGGGTCATTATGCAATAATAAGAAGGGACTTTATAAATATGATCATATAGACTTGAACAACAACGTGGAGCCCCCAAGGGCCGGCTCAGTAAGATAATATTGAGTTGGGACTTTATATATACTTCTTTTGAAAAGAACATCATATGATGTAACCCCCATCATGGGGCTTGAACCCATGTCCACAAGGTTAAGAGCTTTGTGCTTTACCAACTGAGTAGTGGACCCTTCAATATAATGGAATAAAACTTGTGTACCTTGAATTGTTGACATGAGCAATTGGTAGCCCCCAAGGGCCGGCTCATTATGATGTGATGAGTCGGGTCTTCAATAAGGCCAGTAAAATTGCTTTTGCATTAGCCCCCAAGTGCCATGGTGCATGCTAGCAGCGACATGGAACTTGCATATTTGATATAATCTTAAACTGAATAATGTAGCCCCCAAGTGCCGGGTTGTAAGCCTACAGCAACTCGGGACTATTCTTTCCATTGTAGAGTAAATCATATCCATTGATAAAATAATAGCCATTGCGCTAAAGCGACTTTGAAAACCTCAATGATAATACTGGTTATTGACAACCGTAAATAAAATCCAGCCATGTTGGCTATTCAAAATTTGAATAATATAATCCGGTATGAAAACCTCAATCATTCAATATCATCATGACAATCCAGCCAAGTTTGGCTATGAAAGATGTGAATACCTTATCGGTTGACAAGTAAATCCGGAGTTTAAATACTCAGCGGCTCTTGGCCGATCGCGAATTAATGCACATTCATGGTAAGCCGGAATTTTAATAACCCGATGGCTTATAGCCTTTGAGAAAATCCAGAATGGATACCCCTTTTGAAGCATCAATTTGGATGATGATCTTGGACTTAATATAAGTCATAGTTCTGCAAAATCTTGCATAGAGTTTAAACAACATATGCCCTGGCGACTTAATGTCAAAAACCAGGGCCGGCTTAAACATAATCATGTATAAACAATATTATACCTGTGATATTGAATCATACTACCGGCTTATGATACCTGTGCAGTAAGGGTGATAACCCAATCTTTGATACACGCATGATTCCAATGGCGTACTTCAAAATATGCTGGCGGCTTAAAGTCCATAGCCAGGGCTGGTTTAAACATACTCATGTATAAACAATATCATATTTGTGATATTGAATCGTACTGCCGACTTATGATACCTGTGCAGTAAGGGTGGTAACCCAAAACTTAGAAGTCAAACCTTCCAAGTATCAATATTGTCATATGCTGGCGACTTGTTCGTCGAAAGCCAGGGCGGGTTAATAGAAACCACACATATATGCTTCAGATATGAGCAAAAAGTCTCAAAACCCAAAAGATTGTGTTCAAAAAACTTAATCCAGACAAAGAGAAAATCAAGGCTTCTGATTCAAATACGACCAGTAAACTGTTTCAAAGGGGTTAAGCTAGGATTCGAATACGATCATGTAGCTCCCAGTGGCTTTGGCGTTGCCGATCAAGAGGGTACCGACAGCTATGTTCTCTTTGGTTCGAATACGACCTATGTTTGAACAGGAAGCCCCCAAATGACCTTGAGAGTTGTTTAACGACGCTGATTCGAATACGACCCACGTCGGACCCAAAAGAGGTTGAGCTATGATTCGAATACGATCAAGAAGCCCCCTAGTGGGTTTGGCGTTGCGCCGATGAAGAGGGTACCGACAGCTATGTTCTCTTTGGTTCGAATACGACCTATGTTTGAACAGGAAGCCCCCAAATGACCTGTAAACATGGCTATGAGCCAGATCAAAGGGTAATCATAGCTTAGCTCAATAAGCCGGAAGCTCCCAAGTGATATATTTCTGAGTTGTGCTCGCCGGGTGCCTATGTTTGAGTTGTGCTGTGCAACAAACTCTCTTTGGTACCTGTAATTTTTTTCTGAAAACTTGAACTTGCAAGAGATGAATTCTTTTTAAACCAGAATTTCAAACCGGATTTGAGAGTTTCAAAGCTTTGTGGGAGACAGGTTTACCTTGAGCCGGATTGTAAACCGAAACATCATTGTGAGCCAGAAATTTTCTGACGGCCTTTAAATTTTCACCAATATGGCGGTAGCCTCCAGCACCGGGTTATCTTCCCTCCAATGACCCAGGGTCTTAAATCTCACAATATTTGCTAAGTCATGTCATCGTAGCCCCCGAGTCTTAAGGCGATTTGAGGAGTTGGCTTGAGATTCTTCATAATCAACCGTGATATAGACCGGTTTGAATCCTGCATGGGACAACTTGCAAACTGGAGTAATTGCTCTTTTAAAGAAAGCAATATATAATATATAAAAACATGTTGGATGGATTTCACCTGATGCGTCAGGTCAGCAGTTATCACCGCGGAGTTGATGATCACCATGGTGAAACTGAAATCAATCACGGCCGAGTCGGCCGCGGGTGCTGACAGATTTGTCGGCCGCGGTGTTTTAAACCGGTGTGGACGGGAGAGTCGACCGCGGGGTTATAAACCGGTGTGGTCGCGAGAGACGGCCACGACATTGTAAGCTGGTGCGGGAGTCCGTTGAGTAATGACGACCACCTATGCCAAAAGATGTTGGCGTGCCTCCACCTCCACTGTATAATATCACTTTTTGTCATAAATAATTGCCCTGCATAAACAATATTGCAGACCAAGACAAAGATAAATTTGTTCTTTTGAAAAAACTACATGTGCTAATAAATCAAACTTGGATGGATATCACCTGATTTGTTTCGACGACGGATGATTCGTTCATCGCGACAGAGGTGGCTTAGGCAGACCAGCGACTCAATATAGTTCCGACAGCTCGGGCAGACCGGCGACTTAATATAATTCCGGCGGCTCAGGTAGACCGGCGACTTAATATAATTCCGGCGGCTCAGGCAGACCGGTGACTTACTATAACCCCAGCGGCTCAAAGCGACAAGGGCGGCTCAACGCGGCCCCGACGGCTCTCGCACTTCCGAGTCAGTAGCTCCACACACTTCATGGCTGATTTTTTTACGAGGAAGCAAAAATCCATGGGTGATACCCTCCATGTGAGCCATAGAGTGACATTGCTTTGTAACTTATTTCATTTGACATTGTCTCTTGCATCAACCACCAGGAGCAGTGCATCGAACTTGGGTGTCTTGCATAATCAACCAAAGTAGTTCCCCTTAATTCTCCATCATTATTTCAATACTGCATACTCATTTTTTGTTTGATTGCATCAGGTCCTCATGAGGAAGCTTCTCCTCTAGTCTTGAGGTAATAATCACAAATAAACAATGCCCTCCATATAACTACTCCATGATTGATATCTGATCCTTGGCAACTTGCAACACTGCATCGACGTGAGTAACTCGCACGGTACAGAACGGCACGACAGCAGCAGGTTGAAGTAGAAGCGAAAGTGCAGCGGTTCCCTGGCGTGGTACGCCGACTAGGCAGAGGCAAAGCGAGGGCTGGCGCCAGCGGTTCTCGGCCGAGGACAGGCCGGCTTGCCGACGCCGGAGGGGGTGACTCGCGGCGAGGTGCGACAACGGCTGGTCCAACCGCGGGGAGAGGCATGCTCAGTGGAGAGAGGCACAGCGGCGGCTTGCGGCCGCAGAGACTGCAACTGCTCAGTGTGGAGATGGCCGAGGAGGTGGGTTGAAGCAGAGGTGACCGTGGCAACGGGGCCGCACAGCGACTCGTAGGCAGCCGTAATACAGGCGACAAGCCGGTTTGGAGCGGGCGGCCCGAAGTGGACAGAGAAGTACCCGCCGGGGGTCGGCTCAGAGCGGAGCAGAAAACCAACGTTGCGGCAGCAGGGCAGAGCCATTTATTTAGATTAGGGCCGCAAGAGTGAGGTAACCCGGCGACTCGGCGTAGGACGACCTGTAGAAGCGGCTCGTGCTGCAATGGCGAAGGCAACTTGAAGAGGCGGCAGACGCGCCAGTGACGGAGACGGCAGGGCTGACTTGAAGCTCGACAGCGAAGGTGTCTTAGCGCATCACGAGGAGGAGCCGTGGCGGCTCAGCATAGGAGACAACGGTGGCTCATCAGCGGGCGGCTCGGAGACTGTAACGAGGGCGCTCCGGCGGGTCGACGAAGTGTGGCGGCGACAACGGCGCGTTGGAGAGGCGTGACTATAGCCAGTTCAGCGCGGCCACTCGGAGGAGGACCTGCGATGCAAAGCGGGTCAACGGAGACGACGGCTCACGTCCATCAGGCTATACGTATGAGATGACTATTAAATCCTTCCTCATAGTATATGCGTGTATAATAGCTGTACTAGTTGATGTCTTTTTACGTGCAGGAGCTAGAAAATCCATCAGGTTTTGTTTTTCTTTGCATTAATCAACACTTGGCCCCTTGATTCCTGTGCGTGTGCTAGGTTGATCTGAAAACTTTATGGGGCTGAATCAACTTTCTTGATCGCCGTTGTACCAACAGATGTGCTAGGTTGATATGACAACTTTACGGGACTGAATCAACTTTCTTGATCGTCGCTGTACCAACAGATGTGCTAGGTTGATCTGAAAACTTTACGGGACTCAATCAACTGTCTTGATCGCCGTTGTACCAACAGATGGTGCTCGTGACATGTGTTTTTAGCTATCTTTGATTACCTCGGATTTGGACAGATGTACATAGAGAAGCAAAAACGACCCGGCGAATCAGACACGGTGGCTAGATTTGACAACGGTGTAGTTGAAGTTCGAGTCGGCCTCGGTGTACTGCTGTAGTATGATCGCTGCAGCGGAAAATCCAATCGATCTCAGCGATCGGTGACAGTGCTTTGTAGATATCTCAGCGGAATAGTAAAGACGCTGCAGCCTTGAGCGACGTCCACGCGTAGTGGATCCTATCCTGGACATCTCTCAAATCCTGTACTGCCGGCTTGAAAAGTTTTTATCGCCGATCTGATCATCAAAATAATGAATTTGCCGATTTCTTCTCCATCTGACGAATTACAATTTTCTTGATTCCTGAGATAGTGCCCTTCAAGAACTCAACACCACCGTGCACAACCCTCACGGTGGGCGCCAACTGTCGTGAAATTGTCACGGCAGATGTCCTAGTGTGAGGACTTAGTCGTGAGGCCAACGCATCTATGCGGCAGCTTGAAGGGGTTGGTCAGAATCGAGAGACGCGTGGCGGATCAACGCACAAGACAAGGATTTAGACAGCTTCGGGCTCCGGGAAACATCATCCGGTAAAACCCTACATGTTGTTTGTGGCTAGGTCTCATTATGCTCATGAGGAAGTCGTCGTAAGCCGGCGCTCCTCTAGTTGTGTCTAGCCTTCTAGATTGTTTTTCGTTGCTTGTCCCTCTTTGGGGAGCCCTGCCCCTCCTTATATATGTTGAAGGGGCGGGTTACATGACTAGTCCTAGTAGAATTAGGATTAACCTATTACAAGTAGAGTCCTAGTCTTGCTTCCTTTTATAGGAGAATATTCCTTATTCTTTCCCCTTAAGCCGCCCCACCATTAACATGAGCCGGTCTTCTGGGCCTTGGGCCTAGTTCTTCATGTGAAACACCCGCCGGGACTAATGAGCCGCCAAGATCGGGCGGGTTACCCGTGAGTCGCCAAACTCCGGGCAGGTCACCAGTGAGTCGTCAAGATCCATCCGGGTTACACCGCGGGGTATATCCCCGACACTTACCAAGTATTTGTTCATATCCGTACCTTGTTGTTTTATTCATCTACCTATATCTAGTGGCTTCTCAATTTATGGAAGTGTGATAATTTACTTTGGAATTCATTCGTTCATTCTTGTTCGAATGTTAAGGCTACATGTTGCAATTTCGATCCATTGATTCAGCTTGAATATATGTCTGTCAAGATGATAGCGGATGTCACCCTCTTCAGGATGGCTCCTCCAACGCGTCAGAATCCGGAACCACCGCCACCACCTCCACCTCCGGAGGCATGGCAAGCTGTGATGGCCGCTACCAACGCCAACACACAGATGATTATGCAACTCTTACAAGAGCGCAACCAAGGAAATCAAGGCCATGGCAACAATCAAGTTCAGTTTGCTACCCTCAACTAGTTCTTCGCAAACCAGCCGAAGTCTTTCAGCAACTGTGTCGAGGCCACAGACGCTGACGATTGGCTTGTGGATATCTGCAAACATTTTGAGTGTAGCAACGTCAGGCCTGAGGACTTTGTCAAGTTTGCTTCGTTCCAACTCAAAGACCAAGCTGCCGAGTGGTATCAACAATACAAAGATTTCAGAGGAGGTCGTGTGATTACCTGGGATGATTTCCACCAAGACTTCAAAGCTCACCACATTCCTCAGAGTGTTGTTGAGAGTAAGCGTGAGGAGTTCCACAACCTGAAGCAAGGCAGCTTGCCTGTTTACTGATGACCCACAAGTATATGGGATCTATCATAGTCCTTTCGATAAGTAAGAGTGTCGAACCCAACGAGGAGCAGAAGGAAATGATAAACGGTTTTCAGCAAGGTATTCTCTGCAAGTACTGAAATAAGTGGTAACAGATAGTTTTGTGATGAGATAATTTGTAACGAGCAACAAGTAACAAAAGTAAATAAAGTGCAGCAAGGTGGCCCAATCCTTTTTGTAGCAAAGAACAAACCTGCACAAACTCTTATATAAGGAAAAGCGCTCCCGAGGACATATGGGAATATCGTCTAGCTAGTTTTCATCACATTCATATGATTCGCGTTCGGTACTTTGATAATTTGACATGTGCGTGGACCGGTGCTTGGGTGTTGTTCTTACTTGAACAAGCATCCCACTTATGATTAACCTCTATTGCAAGCATCCGCAACTACAACAAAAGTATTAAGGTAAACCTAACCATAGCATGAAACATATGGATCCAAATCAGCCCCTTACGAAGCAACGCATAAACTAGGGTTTAAGCTTCTTTCACTCTAGCAACCCATCATCTACTTATTACTTCCCAGTGCCTTCCTCTAGGCCCAAATAATGGTGAAGTGTTATGTAGTCGGCGTTCACATAACACCACTAGAGGCTAGACAACATACATCTTATCAAAATATCGAACGGACACCAAATTCACATGACTACTAATAGCAAGACTTCTCCCTTGTCCTCACTACTCACAAAGTATAAATATGTTCATAATCAGAGGGGTATTAATATGCATAAAGGATCTGAACATATGATCTTCCACCAATTAAACCAATTAGCATCAACTACAAGGAGTAATTAACACTACTAGCAACCTACTAGCACCAATCCAGGACTTGGAGACAAGAATTGGATACAAGAGATGAACTAGGGTTTTGAGATGAGATGGTGCTGATGAAGATGTTGATGGAGATTGCCCTCTCCCGATGAGAGGAGAGTTGGTGATGACGATGGTGATGATTTCCCCCTCCGGGAGGGAAATTTCCCCGGCAGAACAGCTCTGCCGGAGCTCTAGATTGGATCCGCCAAGGTTCCGCCTCGTGGCGGCGGAGTTTCATCCCGAAAGGTTACTTCTTATTTTTTTCTCGATGAAAGACTTCATATATGAGAAGATAGTCATCGGAGAGCCACCAGGGGGCCCACGAGGTAGGGGGCGCGCCCTAGGGGGGCGCCCCCACCCTCGTGAGAAGGGTGTGGGCCCCCTGGTCTTCATCTTTGGCGAGGATTTTTCATTATTTATTATAAGGTGTTCCGTGGAGTTTCAGGACTTTTGGAGTTGTGCAGAATAGGTCTCTAATATTTGCTCCTTTTCCAGCCCAGAATTCCAGCTGCCCGCATTCTCCCTCCTTATGTAAAACTTGTAAAATAAGAGAGAATAGCCATAAGTATTGTGACATAATATGAAATAACAGCCCATAATGCAATAAATATTGATATAAAAGCATGATGCAAAATGGACGTATCAACTCCCCCAAGCTTAGACCTCGCTTGTCCTCAAGCAAAAAGCCAAAATCGAAAAATATGTCCACATGTTTATAGATTAAGGTGTCGATAAAAATAAAATACGGACATGAGGGCATCATGATCATTCTTATAACAACAACTTATATAATTTTTGTCATATGATCTCTAATGCTAGAGTAATAATTCAATCACAATATCAATTATGAATCGTAAACTTCATTGAAAACTAACAAACTACAGTCTCGGTCATTGAAGGAATTGCAATTTATAATAACATAGGAAAGAGTCAATGTATAAGAGCTTTTCAGCAAGTCCACATACTCAACTATCATATAATCTTTCACAATTGCTGACTCTCACGCAATACTTATGGGTGTGGAGTTTTAATCGGACACAGAGAAAGATAGGGGCTTATATTTTTGCCTCCCAACGTTTTACCTCTAGGGTAATGTCAACAGTAATAGTTCATGAAAACTCACATCCAATTAGCCATATATACCAGGATCTTTTCAACATACTTTGCTTGCCAAAGGATAAAATGAAAAAGGGAGAGGTTAAGATCACCATGACACTTGCATAAGGTAGAAGATAATAATAAAAGATAGGCCCTTCGCAGAGGGAAGCAGAGGTTGCCATGCGCTTTTATGATTGGATGCACAAAATCTTAATGCGAAAGAACGTCACTTTATATTGCCCCTTGTGATATGAACCTTCATTATGTAGTCCGTCGCTTTTATTACTTCCACATCACAAGATCGTATAAAGCTTATTTCTCCCGCACCAATCAATCATACATATTTAGAGAGCAATTTTTATTGATTTGCACCGATGACAACTTACTTGAAGGATCTTATTCAATCCATAGGTAGATATGATGGACTCTCATGGCAAAACTGGTTTAAGGGTATTTGGAAGCACAAGTAGTATCTGTACTTGGTGCTGAGAATTTGACTAGCTTGAGGGGGAAAGGCAAGCTCAACATGTTGGAGGATCCAAGACAATATAATTTATCTCAGATGTAAGAAAACATGACCCATTACGTTGTCTTCCTTGTCCAATGTCAACTCTTTAGCATGTCATATTTTAATGAGTGCTCGCAATCATAAAAGATGTCCAAGATAGTATATCTATATGTCAAGACCTCTCTTTCTTTATTACTTCCTATTAATTGCAATGATGACCAAAACTATGCTTGTCAACTCTCAACAACTTTTATTCATCATACTTTTTCTATGTGAGCTCATTACTCTCCATGAGATCCATATGATCTCTTTGTTTCTTTTTATTTCTTTCTCTTTTCTTTTATTCACTTAGGATCATGGCAAAATAATCAAGCCCTTGACTCAACACTAATCTTTATTATATAGCTCACGGACTCGATTACATAGAAGGATAATAAAGCAAAACTCACAATTAGATCATGCCATAAACTTTATTCTAATAGATCAAAATACTACTAATAAGATCGAACTAAGGAAAATGGTAAAGATAAAAGTGATGGTGATACGATACTGGGGCACTCCCCCAAGCTTGGCAGTTGCCAAGTGGAGTGCCCATACCCAGATACTCAATTCTTATTTGTTGGAGGAGACGGTGGAGGTGTTGTTGATGATGGATAGTCGCACATCGAGCATAGAAGGTCTTCAAACTTGCGGATAATGCCCTTGAGTGCGATGATATGCTCCTTCAACAAAATATTTTCACATGTCAGATACTTATTTTGTATACGAGCCAACTCAATCATCTTGAAAGCTTCAATTTCTTTAGGGGTAAGGAGATTATGATCCAGTTGAAGGGTGTCTTCTATTGCTGGAACTTGGTCCTCCACGGCCTTCTTGATCCCTTCATCCTTGTTGATCTCCATAGATTCTTCTC